TTTATTCCAGTGGGTAGAGCACAAAAGATTGCATCCTAAATGGAACATAGTCACACGAGAGAAACTAACAAAGAAAAGTTACATCAGCGAAGTCAATCGTTTTCAGAATACTCGCTAATGTTCGACTTGATTTTAGTTTTGCGATAAATGCAATGTCATCATTTTCATCGGATTCTTGTTCGTTGCCATTCGTTTCTTCGTCATCGGTATCTTCTTGATGAGTATCAAACAGTGACATGTTTGAGAAAATGCGAAATGACACAAAACTAACTGTCTGAGTCTGAGTTCATCTTTGGTTTCTATTGGTTAGCTTTCCGTACGAATTGTAAGATTCACTAGATGGCGAAGATTCTGTTTCGATCGGTATTAACAGAAAACAGTTTCATCCTAGATAAAATGAGAAAAGTAAGAAAATGTGGTCGATTGATTCATTTGAAAAATGGTTCAGAGAAAGACATCAAAGTTTCTGAAGATGGTGGTTCAAGATCGTGTAGTCTAATCAATTATTCCATGAAACCTTGTGTCATGGCACATTATCATCTTCGCATCTTTTTCATATTCGTAAGTTGAACTGGAGCACAAGTTTTGAAAAATCATTTCAAACATATTTGAAGCTATCCTCAAACACCACTCATTGCTAATCAGAATTTTTCAGACATTGGGTGATTACATACGTCGACTTGGTTTAAATGGTCATCATACTATAATTTATCCATGTACATCTGAGAGTATGGAGTGTTGTATTGATATCTTGTGATCCATCTATGTGTCTGAATATCTAGGTGATGAATCGAAAATGAATCCTAACGCGATCAGAGCAGATTGGTCGATGAGAATACTTCGAATAGGATTGCGGTTCGACTATATAGAAATATTTACACGATTTCCGAATTAATTCAGAAAATAGTTCAACCAATAAGGAAATATATTCAACGAAAATATGCTCCTTCTGACTAACTTAATTTGTTTTGCTAGAAATTGAATTATAACACGTTGAAACCAAGAAATGTGTCAAATCCATCTGGATTTGGGTATACCCGAAAAAATCAGCGATTCTTTTTTATGACGTGAGGTAAAATTGATTAAATATGCTAATTTCGTGTTTGATTAATTAGCTTTTATACGATTTAAACTGGTTGATGAAAAGTATGGATGTTAAATTTTCGTCATTTCGTACATTGATTCTTACTGCAATCAATAAGATGAAACAACAAGAATTGATTGTTAATTCCAATGGCGACATATCTGTTTATGATATAAAACAAATTCTTCGACGAATGAAAGACGAAATTGTAAAGACTACGATTGAATTAAAGCGAAACCAATCGATATCCGAAGTAGATAAACTAGTTTTAGGTCAGTGCGACAAAGTTTTGTGATCTCTTCGTTCCTTTCTCTCAACGTGTCTAAATGAACGAATGACTTTCCTTGATGATGATGATTTAAAATGAAATAATTTTGTGCTTTTTAAAATCTTTTGTTTTGATCTTGCAAATCTTATATTGTTACAAACTTCCGCTTGCAATAAAACCGCAAAAAAAAACTTTTGACATTCTGTTCATGACCGAACAAACACAATTATTCACGTCAATCAAATTCGTCACAGTTGACCTTTTGACGTCTCTTGCCTGCTAAATGACGTACTCAAAATTTCATTCTTTCAAATGAATATCATAACTGATATGTTTTTTATTTAGTTATTTAACACGAATAACATTTCTTATTCATATAATGTGTTCACATGATTATTGATAATAAGATTGCCACTGACGTGGATAGCCATACACCACCGGAGGCGGAGTTTTATGTACAACTGCTCTCTTGCGATTCCGATGAAAGAGAAATGGAACGATCGAAAGATTGTGATAAGTGTCCGTATAAGGATTATAATATTCAGCATGATGTGCTTTCATCATCAATGGTTGTTGATATGATTCTAGATAGAAACGTATACACTTGAATATCTACATGAAGAGTGACTTACGATAACCATAACCTCCTTGCATACCCATCGGATAATTCATTCCATTGGAACCAATGAGACATATTGATTCATTTAAACTACTATATCGAAATGGAACTTGTTGTAAGAAGTTCATTGGATCTCTTTGCACATCTGCAGCGGTATTTTTCAACACAACATCGATGTCAGTATTCGGAGTGCAAATATGACGAAGTAAATGAAATGTATAAAGACTATTTCTTTGATTCTGTGAAAGACTACTTGAAAATTTGTCTTCTTCACAAGCGAAAACAATAATAGTTGCTGGTGGTGCTTGCATCGGTGCAAGTCCAACTCCAAGTCCAAGTCTATCAGGTCGACCACGGTAAAGTGATGGGTACAATCGACTTGCGTCACTTGTATCATTAACTTCGTAACCACGACAAGCATCGAGTATACATAAGACTAATCTAGGTTGTCGAGTATGTATTGCTTCAATGACATTTTGAACGTTAAGAGCTTGAGAATCGAGAGTTTTGAGTAAAAGTCTTTCATCATCAATTCCAAGTAGATAATTGACACCATTGTATTGTATTCCATGACCAGAAAAGTAAAATATCACAATGGAACCAGGTTGAATTGATTGAATGAATCGACCTGTAATAGCTTGCATTCCCTCATAAGGGATATTCGTGGCTGGTTGTACTTGAAATCCCATCGCATTCAGTGTTGTTGTCATATCAGTTGCATCATTAACACACGATTGTATAGGTGATCGCATATAAGCTTCATTACCAATAACTAAAGCGTGTTTCGGGTACATCGTCGGTTTAGTGTAGGAAATCTATTAAACAATTGAAAATGTTGTAGTTTAAACTATTTCGAAGACGATAATCAACTACGAGACTGCTGTATGAGTCATTAGTGAAAAGAAAATATCAAGACAAAACCACAATCAAACATTACCTGATTCTCAGAGTAAAATTGCAATAAAAATTACGCTAGTCGTTTACTAGATCAACAAACGAACTGAATATGTATACGTTAATAGAAAGACCACTTATATTCATTATTCATCAAACGATCGATCGATCGAAAATGGCAGATATTAGTGAGGTTTTTCTTTTTGCCACAAGATAACACCCTTTTTATTGATTGAGGGTAAAAACCGTTTCACAAAACTAACGTACTGTGTCCATTCGGTAACATTTTCGTCAGAAATTACCTGAATGTCGCGGCTGTCAAAGCGTAAATAAACAAACATGTCGTGCTTATGATATCTTGTTTTTGATTAAAAGTAAATTAACGAATGGCTAAAGTTTATGGTGCGTTACCGGACTTGTTTTTCATCTGTTAGTATCACAAGCAATCAATCGAGAGAAGCATCGTGTCTTTTCGAAGTATTTCGAATCATAGGTTCAAGGACACAGGAGTAATGAAGAAAAAACAAGGTAATTACGACAGTTTAACTGAGTAGCGATGTAAGGAAGATCGAGTTTTAAGTTGTTGTTTTTTTAGATTAGATTTATTAGAAAAGAATTCATTTATGAAAAAGTGTTTTGTTGATTGTTTTATTAACTATTTAATCATAGACGGGTAATTTGGTATGGTAGTTCAATTTTGGTCCATTGAAATTATTCTTTTGAGCGAGACGATTCAAAGCAAAGATGCATAACTAAAAAATCCGAATTTAAACGAGTTGATTTACGAAACAAATAACTTACAGTGACTTGTTGAATGTTTTGTTTATCGAAACAATCAACTGCTTGAAAAACTTCACTCGAATCGACACCGTATGCACGTGCAGCATTTTGAAAAAGACCAATATTTTCGCGTAGTTTGATTGGACCACCTTGAGTATGAATTTTCGGAACTGAGCCCGGTTTGAGTTTATTCATTAATCTAAAACATTTCTTGTTGCTCAAACAATTTTCTTCTATAGTAGTTTTAATCTTACTTGCATAGAATAATTCCATCATGAAGAGCTTCTTCATAATCATCAGTAGGAAATCTTTCACCTGTCACGGCTTCGATCCATTCTCGTGCTGCATGTTCTTGTTCTTGATCTCGTTTGAAATGAATCTATACAAACAAAACAATCAGTTAACCATTCGAGCAACTTGTTTCACCCATACTTTATCTTTAACAGCTCGATCCAATGCCATTGTAAGTGTCGCAAAAAAAGAATACTGTAGAACTATGAAACAACAGTAGATATATGTATTGTATCGTACACTCTTGGCGGACAAATTCTATTTGTCTAGTGGGTGTTTCAACTGTCGTCTTTCATCTTATCGAAATAGATACGAAGCAATTGTCTATAATTAGCTTCCAAAAAAGAACTATCTTCATCGTCATAACAAAGTTATTTGTGGTTACAGAGATATTTTTACTTCTTGCTCTGCGAAGGTAATCATAAGATGAGAAAGAATAATTCTTGCATTATTCATTGATGACATAGAAGCTAAAAGAATCGCTGACATATCTGTATGGAAGTTTGCATGATTGAAATACGTAAATAGAATGACAAATAATCTAATTTGTACGATGTTACATTTCGAGAAAGTTCCTTCAATGCTCGAGTAAATTTGTATCAAATAACATTCTACTTGAAACCATGACAATAGATCAATATTCGTTTGTCTTGTATTGAATAAACATCGAACGAGACAGAAATGGACTACGGCATTGATCGATTCTTCTATCTGAGCGCTTGTAAAAAGGTTTCATACGCATCTATGTATATCTGAAGCAAAAGAAATTCATTTCAGGTGTAAGACACTCTGAACTTTTTCTTTCTGTTGATATGGTTCAACAAGAGAAAGGATAGACGAGAGAGAAAAAAAACTGTATAAATGTCGGTGTGTAGTCAAGAAGAAGAAGAAGAAGAAGTGAAATTTACCTAAAGATGGTCTGTTGCTTTACTGTAACATGTTTCCTGTGTATTGTTTGTGTTTTAATTGGTGTAACGAGTCTCCTTCAGTTTTGTATGGGACTTTATTTAACATTTCTGCAAAATGATGTTATTACGATTAATCGACTTGTCAAAACGGAGAGATTCGATTCGTATTTAGCATATGTTCTGTTTGCATTTATCGGCTTAGGATTTATTTCGTTATTATTTGTATTCTTCTCTATCTATGGCGCAATTAAACAAAATCGAGCGTTGACGTTATTTATGACGATCTTATGGGTATGTGTTAGATTACCTTTCATCTTTTTTTTTTATTTTTACTCCGATTATTTCTAGTTATTCTCATTGACGTTAAATTTGGTTATGTTAGCTGTTTCGCTTCTCTATTATTATTTTATTCTTTCGCAATTACGACCATTGCTCGTTTTGTCTCTTCGAGAAGCTCCTGATGCCACTATCAAACTACTTGATATTCTTCAATTGAAGTATTCATGTTGTGGTATCGATGGTAAAAACGATTACAATCAAATTGTGCCCAATTCGTTGCCTTCGTCATGTTGTCGAGAACCAAATTGTTGGGAAGAAACTGATTTGAAAAGTACGAATAGTACACTATCGTCAGTGTATACAAGTGGATGTTACTTATTGATTAAACAACATTTGACTATTGAATTGTGGATCTTAATTGGTGTAACGGGTCTTTGTTCGTTGTTGCAAATCTTCGCAGTTTTGTTTCTGTGCGTTTTGAATGAACGATATAGGAAATTTGATGAATTGCCGAGGTTTGCAATCAATCAACTAACTCCAGGAGTGCCGATGAATAATATTCAGAATGCACCAAGAGCGGTGTCTGAACCACTGGAGATCACGCAGATTTGAGTTCAAAGTTTCATTTCGTATTGAAACAAAAAACTTTTGTCTTTAGTTAGATACATTTTGTAGACACTGTTTTTTATTCAAAATAAATATTATCATTCAGTTAAAATCTAGAAATGAAATTGTGTGGTAAGATTTTGTCCAGACAAATTTCATTCGATCACTTTATTTTTGTGTCACAAGATGAAAATCATTTGATTGCTTTTTCCTTTAATCGCGGGAATGATAACTAAAACTTTCTTCTATTGAGAACTACAATATCAAAAACTCAATATTCTTCTGATCTTTTCATTACAAAAAAGATTCAAAATTCGCAGACAATGTCTGAATTATTCATGATGGAAACAACAATTAAGCCACTGTATCAGCAACTGTATCAGCGACCGCATTTGGTAAATATCTCTTCGCTAGAAATCGAATAACCAATGGTTTTATAACATAAACCACAAGTTGCTTGAGAAGATATAAACCCGCAATCGAATAGCTAATTCCACGGCAAATTCCTAAGAATTTATCCTGTCCTCGACGTAAATCCATACATTTTTTATATGGAATTCGTGTAAACGTCACCATTGTATACAGAGGTGTCCACCATTGAGGAAATAATCGATAAAGAAAATTATCGACTTTCTTACGCCAGTAATACGAACGTGTTGTGACTAAATGTCGCATTTCGTAATGATTATACATGGATAAGTCGACAATAGCATGTGCATCGTCAATACGAGTTTTACTACAGAGAAAAATGAGATTTTGATTGATTAATTACAAACGAAAAAGTTTTACTTGTATTCAGCGAATGCTTTCGGGAAATTAAAATTAGTTTCTTTCAATTTCTCGAAGAGAACTAACGTATCTTCAAATGCAGAATTCATGCCTTGTGCGTAAAATGGAATCATTGAATGTGCTGCATCACCCATTAGTAGAATATCACCATGTACGGAAGCATGAGGTGAACATTTAACTGAAATTAATGGTAATGGTTTCGAAGAGAAATATGTTTCAATTAAGTTTTCTCGTCCAATGAACGAAATCGCGTCAGGAAAGTATTTCTGGAAAAAAGCTAAAAGTTCATCGACTGTTGTGAGTTGCTGGAAAAGTGGTAAAGGAAGAAAGAGCGTTGTTGTGAATGTTTTATCTTGATTAGGTAAAGCAATTAACAGAAATTCATGACGTGGCCAAATGTGAAGGTAATTCACATCCATTGCGAACTAAAGTTGGACAATCGAGTTTATCGGACAAGGACAAATGGATTTCGTTACTTCGTTGTTTTTTGCTGGAATACAAAATTCCATGTAATGCGTATCGATATACCGCTGTGAGAAATCCACCGAGTCGAGTTTCATCATCGCTGCACGAACAGACGAATGGCATCTGAATAAGATATGAATTGAGTTAGGAAAGATGTATTCGATATTTTACCCGTCATAGCCAATTAAAGCATCTACTTTGAATTCAACGTAGTCGTTAGATACACTAAGAATATGAATAGAATTAGAATTAGAACATATAATCGAAAGGTTTACTTCTGAAACGTGGCAATTTTGTCTTCACGATTCCAACTGATAAATTTATGTTGAAAATGAATCGTGATTTCTGGATGTTTAGAAGCCTCTAAAAAAAACAAGTAATGTGAATGGCGATTAATTGATATTAAATTACCATCTATTAATAACTCATTCAAAATGCGTCGATCGATCGAGATGATTTGCTTTGAAAGAAAAACAAACAATAACAATACAGCGGTCACACTGTACTAAAAAGAAAAGTTTTATCTTACATGATCCGGATGTGTTCCATAACGCACTGGTGTTGTATGACAATTTAAATCATGTAACATTCTGGAATGCATTGGTATTCCATTATTAACAACTGTATCTTCACAATTAACATATGCCAACGCATCACGACCACGTCGGGATAATGCCATGTTAATACTACGACCTTTGACAACTTTCTGCGTACGAATATCTGAATTAAATCGTTTGGACTTCGGAAATGTTGGATTAATTAAACAAACCTGGTCGGAGTTCAAACAAATGCACTTTGATGCCATGTTTAGCAAAAAACAACGCACATAGAGTACCACCCTAGATCATGCTCAATGCGAATTCCTTCTATTTTGGAGTGTAAATCAGTTGAGTACATACGAGACCACCGCCAACAATTGCAACTACTTGATTCGCCTCACCGATCGCTTGATGTGCCATGGATGAAAATAATGATATAAATGATTATATCATTATCGATTTACTTCACCTTGATAATAATTGATTCGAGCGACATCTCAATATTTTTTTCACTGGTCTTCTACTAAAGTTACTGTACCTCCTACATGATATACTCTCTGCGCATTTGATTTCTTATTCAGTTCTGTTAACTATCCAATCCACAGATAGAATATCACACTGTCAAGTGTAATCTGAAGATTAGAAAGACTTTTGAATTGAATTGACGAACATTATCTGGAAATAAAAGAATTTAATTGTCTACAAAATGTTTTTTTTTCTCACTCGATAAGAGTTCACTTGGTGCAGGGAATAATTTAAAATGACATCTTGATTTCCATGTCTCGTATCGCAAATCGAATTCGAAACAAAAATACATTTTGTAATTGGAGTTTTTATAGAACTAATTATTGTCAAAATGGACATTTTTTTTCTATGGATATATAACTTCTATTTGTTTTGAAAAAGAAAACTCGACATCTTTCTCTTTTGATTCTTATCTGAGATTAATCAAGAACAATAATAAATATTCGCACGAGTAAGAAGGACGAACAGAATATTTGTTGAGTAGTTTTATCATAGACGAATTGTCATCTGATGTATAATTTCAATGAAAAGAGTAGCGAACAAAGTTCAGCGAAGAAACCAAGTTGGCAAATTGCTCGAGATATTTCAACAGCGTTGTTATGGCGAAAATCATCGAAATTGAGTCTTATACCAGGTATCTTTACACGTCTCAAACAGTCTTCTGCATATCCGATATCTTCAGATTCGATCTCCAAACGATCTGCGCCAAAAAAACGTAGCATTTACAGTTCCGAAGCGCGTTCCAAACCTTCGCAGACCCAGCGAATACCTCGAATGCCATCGGAAAAAGAAGCAGCTCTAGTAACGCATGATTTCCTTCTGTTTTTACGCCAAACGATCGTTTGTTCTATAGATCGATATTGCATACACGTTATCCTGCGCATTCTGCAACGAAACTTGCGTTAGCAATTATCTCCGCTGTCGTATCTGTATCCATATATACCATGTTGAATGTCTTTCTCAACGTGGTTACCTTCATAATCAATCCATATCCTTCCGAAATCGTCTTCAACCAGATTGGAGCTGCCCGGATTGTGTAAATTTCATTTCTTTTTTAATTTCTCACTCTCTCGAGTTGTCGTTTAGCGTGACCTTACTCGATTGCTAAATCATGATGAACTTCTGTGTTTAATCCATGCGTTCGATCAACTCGACAAAAATCGAGGTAAGAGTATAGACACAAACTTGATTTTGATCACTTTTGTATTCAGATGGTTATATCGTTCTCGAGGAATTTCTCTCTTTTCAATCAAATAAATCGATACCGGAGGGATTGGAGCTATTCGTTCAGCATAACCACGAAACAGGAAGAAGATACTTCGCGCTGATGGATTGTGCACAACGAGGAGTCGTCGCCTGGTCAGATTTTGTTCTTCTTTATACCTGTAAACTAATCTGTGCGAAAGATAAAGTAATATCGTGTCTATATTCGATTTGATCTTTCAAATTCTTCTTTTCAGATTGAACTAACAACAAAATTAACAGAAAAAGAATTAGTTCAAGCGAGAAAACTCTTCTTAAAAGATCCGAAAAAATCGTTCGATAATGATTTCAATCGAATGGTAACCAGAGAACATCTCAATCAAATTCATCGTGACCTCATGCTTTCGCTTAAGTATAAACAAAACTATATCAGTTTTCTATCAAGATAAAACTCGAATAATTTAGCAAAAAATATGGCATTGAGTTCATTGACACAGTTCTAACGTTTGATCATCGTATTGACAACACAGCAGAGTAAAATATTTTCAAATCGAACACTACAATCTTTGTTTTCTTCATGTAGAAAATCATCTGCAATCTATTGGTCAGAGTTTCTTCGTGAAATCGCGCTATTGATATTACTCGACCGTTCGAATGACGATGTTCGATCGTCTGAAACTCGTCGCGGTTCAATACCTGCTCAACTTTCCAATGCTGTGAAAGTGACCTACCCGAAGCTTCCTTCGAATGAACGTGATTCAACAAGTCGACTCTCCTTCTCGAGATCAAACACATTAGCTACGTCGACATCGTCTCACGAGTTGTACGACAAAAATTTTCTAAAACATGCGAAACTTTTACAAAAACTGAACGAGCGAAATCAAGCCGAAGAGCTGAAAAGGAAACAGTTAGGTTCGTCGATTAATTTCACAATTGTTGAAGATGGAGCCGATGCTACTAAGGATCTGAAATTGCCAAAATTGAAAGCAAATGCACGAGATGACCGACGGACCATCACCGATCCTTGGACATGTGTGCACGAAATGCAACGATTAAGAAATGAACCGATTCCAGTTCGTTGGCGACGAATTTCTTGAACGTGATCATAGATGTCGCTAACATTCACTTTTGATTTGCTTTCCCCAAGCCCAACGAAAGATTTCTAAATGATTCACTTTCACTGACAAAGTTCATTCATATGTCGTTTAAATAATACTGTGAGCGTGCGTGTTACTCTTTTTTATTTAAACGAAAATGTTTTTCTTTGAGAGTAAGATTACACAGTATAACAAAAGTTTTTCTGGAATGTTTTCGTTCGGGAAGAAAACGTTTGGTAGACTGAAAAATTTTGAATGAATAGATAGTCGACGCGAAAAAAAAACAGATTAAGACCATATGTCGCATGGTTCTGAGTAATTGATAAAAGAAAAGCAGCTTCAAAGCGTGTTTTGTCTCTTGACTAAATGAAAATATCTTTTCATGGCCAGGGAGAACTCAACCAATATCTCCGTCTCGAATCAATCAATCAATTTTCTTGAAATTGTTTACGGTTCGATTAAAGATATTATCCAAGCTAGTGAACAGGATGTGTTCATCATCAATGGTAAGTCGACTGAATATATTTTTCTGTTGAGATAGAACAGGTTATGTCTTTACCAAGGTATGACAATTTTCTTTTCTTCCACACAAGCATCCCACGTGATTTTTCTCTCATAAGCAATCATTCGTGTCGTAGTTTGCGAGAAAAAGTACATTGTCAATTGTAGTTGAATCATAGCTTGATTATTTCAGATATTTGTGTACATATCAAAAGCAGGCAAAAAGAAAATTACTGAATAGTTTTTCTTCTTTCTCTAAAATTTACTTCATTGGTCTATATTAGTTCAGTCAGATTGATAATTTCTTTCTAAATAAAATGTTAACAAGCGCCTTAGATGCGGAAAAAATCGAATCAAAGCAAGAAGAACGGACGGCAAATGTGCATCGACTCGATTCGTTGAATTTACTTATCTTTACAACACTTCTCGTCGTTGTTGTCTTAACGATTTGGATCTTCAAACGAAGAAACTTTCGTTATATCCACGAAACATGCTTGGCATTGATCTATGGTAAACAAAATTCTTCTCTCCAACTCATTCATCTTTATCTTGTTCAATAGGTTTTATCATTGGTGCTATTCTACATCATACCGGCACCACGAACACCAAGTCAAGTGTATTGAAAATGAATGATACAACTTTTCCGAAGAATCCCGTGCCGAATTGGGTCTCTTTCGAGTACAGTCTTTGTAAACTACGTCGAAATAATTAGTTTTATTGATTTGTATAGAGATCAGAATATGTCAGCGATCTATTTGTATGCTTTTCAAGGGCCATATCAAAAAGATACGGTGCATTTAGAAGAGCAGAAAGTAAGATTTCATTTGAAAAATCGATGTGATTGTAATGTTTGAAATTGATTAGGCAATGTTCAATTCGGAGATCTTTTTTAACATAATTTTACCACCGATTATTTTCCATGCGGGTTATAGTATGAAACGCGTATGTGATTGAGTGAATTGCTTCTGGAAAATCTAATAGAATTTCTCTTAGAAAAACTTTTTTCGCAATTTGGGAGCTATTTTAATGTTTGCATTGGTCGGAACAACGATCGCTTGCTTATCGACAGGGTTCGAAACGGGTTTTCATGTTGGTTTCTGTAGAATTGATTGTTTTAGAATAATGGTCTATGGCTCAGTTCGTGCATTTAGCAGTTTGCGTAGCTTCTTTTCTTTTACCGATTCACTTTATTTCGGTGCTATCATCTCAGCGACGGATCCAGGTTAGTTGTTAACTTATCGTTGCTTTTCGTAATAAATAAATTGCCTTTCTAGTAACGGTTTTGGCGATATTTAATGATTTACATGTTGATGTAGACCTTTATGCAATTATCTTTGGTGAAAGTATACTAAATGATGCCGTGTGTATAGTATTAGCCAAGTAGGAGAGAGATTTCATTGATTCACAAGAAGATTTTCACTGGTTGTTCTTCTAGTTCAATTGAAAAGTATGTTGCTGGTGCAATACTCGATCAATTTGATCGGGCATTAATGTTGAAGTCATTGGGTAACTTTTTTGTTGTCTTTCTCGGATCGTTCGGTATTGGATCTGGCATGGGATGTCTGACCGCATTAGTAAGAAGCATCTCATTGAAAGAGAAATTAAGATTTAAATCGTATTTTAGATGACGAAATTTACTTATATTCGAGATTTTCCACTTCTTGAAACAACACTTTTTGTGCTCATGTCGTATAGTACTTTTCTGGCTTCGGAAGCTGCAGGATTAACAGGTAAATAGAAACACACGAAGATGTTTATTGAATGAATCTGAAAATTGAAGCGAAAAGTTGGAAGTGAACATTATCCATTTCAAGTAAAAGAAATCATTTGCATGAAATTTTTATGACAGAACGATGTTTATCTTCTTTTATGCTTACTCAAGAGATAAACTGATTCAAGGTCAACTTTATATAGAGATTTGCATGTCTTTGTAGAATTTTGTTACCTTGGAAGTCATTTCCGTTCATGTTAGTTTTCTATAAAATGCTTCATTCAACGAAGATTTACAAAAATTTTCAGACAATTTTCTCAGTAAATATTCTTTGATCTAGGTATCGTTGCCGTGCTCTTCTGTGGTATATTTCAAGCTCATTATACGTATAATAATCTCTCAATCGAATCGAAACAACGAACACGTGATGTAATTTAATTACATTTCTCAAACGATCAATATGAATTTGAATGTTTCTTTTTAGCTATTTGAATTATTTAATTTTCTCGCGGAAAATTTCATCTTTATTTACATTGGAATCACGTTATTCACATTTCCTAGTCAGCAATGGGATATTCGATTCATCATTCTCTCAATTGTAAAACTTTCTTTCATCAATCACTTCGTCTTTACTTCGTTTTTGATTCTTTAGATGGCCATTGCTTTGGCTCGAACATTGTGCATAGTTCTTCTTTCGTTCATACTGAATTTGGCTCGAAAAAATCCAATTAGTTGGCAATGGCAGATGATGTTAATCTTTTCTGGTCTGCGTGGTGCTTTCGCATTTGCATTAGCCATTCGAAATGTCTCAACACACGCGCGTTCACTTATGTACACAACAACATCCGTCATCGTTATCATCACGGTCATATTCAATGGCACCTTGGTCGCACCTGTCATGAAATTATTGAAAATTCGGTAAAGAAGTCAGTCAGGAATTCGTTTTGCAGTATATTCGTCTTTTAGAACAAATGTTCGTGAAGAAGCAGAACCAAATTCATCAATTCATCGATATCGAATGATGGAAAATAGCAATAATAATGTAAGTCGTTTTTTGTTCGTTTTACTTTAAGAAGAATAATGAGGGAAAAGAAGTGACGAGTTTTTCCAATAACATTTTCAGCGCGATCGTCGCACATCAGACGAGGTTGCGTTGTTAAACAACGATGAAAATGATGATAATGACACAACAATTACCATTGATGCACGACACGATTCATCAAAATATTCCAAGGTACTTTTTTTGCTTATTCTTCTGTAAAAACATTGGTATCGAATGAAATGCCCTAATAACTGACTAACTTAACGCTTGGTGATGGACTCAAAAGTTGACCAACGAATTCTACTCGATTATTTTCCATTTAGGATGAACGAAAACAAGAATCCAAAACATGGTTATTGAAAAAATGGTCACATTTTGATAAAATGTATGTAAATCACACGATCATCAGTCAGTTCGATCACTGTGAACATAAATCTCTGTTTTAGTTTCATGAAACCTCTTCTTACACACAGTTCTCCACCATTAACAGCGACATTACCTGTATGTCTGTTGCCAATTACGAGACTTTTAACTACAAAAGAACAGCGAACACTGGTGAGATTGAGTGATATATGATTTGCATGCTTTATTTGGGATATCTTGATTGATTTTCTTTTTTTCGATTAATCTCGTAGCATCGAAATGATAATTTTTCGCCAAATATAACTTCCTCGATCATTAGTAGTGATGATTCCATATTAAATAATCATCAGGGAGTTCCAACACTTGAATTGATCGATATTGATAATGTTGATTTATATTCCCGATCGAATACATTGATTGACGTAAGTAATTTTTTCGAAGAAAATCAAGAATCTTAATTGATGAATGAAGAACGAAGTCAGTTTGTCCTATAAAATATACATGCATGAATGATTTCCAGGAATCGATGAGTGTGAATCTTCAGACGGATAAGAATGGCGATGTCACTGCTCGTTTTACCGCATCATCATCATCGTCACCAGCTGCTCAACTATTATAAAGTAGATCCGATATGTTTTCAATATTCTAATTGCTTAAGTTTTGCTAAAACGTCTAATGCTTTACTTGTTCTTTTCTTGTTTCATTCTTGCGAATTCTTTTCAGAATTGAATTGTTGTTTATTGTGTTTTAGGAAAGACTCGAAGGTCAAATGCATCCATTAGTTCAATTTGATGATCAAACAGTGACCGATGGCATTGATTGAATTCATCCCGAATTGTTTTTTTTGTGATACATTTCGTTTCGTTCGTTTCTTCTGCAGTTGTTTCTAGTATATTTCATGTATTTTCATTCGCTATTGAAAAGGAATTTGTGATTGAACAAATCTTTGTTTTTCCTTGCTTTCTCTCATTCGTTTCTAAATATATATTTATTGAAATATTTTAAATGCGGAAATAAAGTGAATATTCATTTGAAAGTCTTCTATTAGTCTTTGTGTTTACTGCAAGTTGACCCGTAATAAGGTGATTTGCATCGACAAAGAAATGATGAACCCTTCGGAACACATTCACCGCCGTGAAGACATGGAGAACTTGAACAAGCGTTTCGATTCGATTGATCGTATCCAGTGGATTTATATTCTATGAGAAGAAGAAAACAGATCACGTGAAGAAATTCTTTGAAAAGTTTCTCTCACTCTTTTCACAATTTCTTCCGTAAAATTGTTCGGTGCAATGGCAATAGGGTCGACCACTGGGCAATGTTCGGCATGAGCCACCGTTTAGACATGGAGTTTTCGAATTACAAGCGGCTAATTCGATAGAAGTAAAGTTTTAACAATATATACAAAAAGAAAAGTGTTTACTATTGAACTTTTTTCCATATTTATCAACGCCGATTGAGAAACCTGGTGATGTGCTGTGTTTGTTACTTGGTGTAGTTGGAATTAGAGAAGCCAATACGTCTGTGCTAGGTTTTTTTGTCGTCGGTGTTGTTTTCTTTTTCGATGAGAGGAGAAAACGCTTCACTCGTTCGCGTTTACTGCTTTCATCATCCCTGTGTTCAGCATTTAGTGTTAAAATAACAAAAGTCATCGCGAAAAGACACAGAATCAGATGAGATTTCTTCATTTTCGTGTTTTAGTTGATGTAGAAGGTCGCAGTACCGGACTGTTTAGCTTTTTATATGTGTAAACTTGCTAATTACATGAGAGGCAAGTGTTGACAAACGATAATTTAGAAAATGAAATTTCAAGTGATGAAATGAAGCAATTTGCATCGAATTACGTTCTACTGTCGATAGATAATTCAAGAAGATCTATTTTCATTTCCATAATCATAACAAAAATTTTTCTTTTGCAAGAATAACAAATCAGTAAAAGATAAATTTATTAGATTGAGAAGAAAAACAGCTGTTGAAACTAGAGATAACGTTTCAATCCAAATACAAGTCAAATAAAATATCTCATCTGCTAAACACGTGTGAAATCTGAATCACCTCATCATCTATCTTCGACTTTTGCAACGAAGATAAGAATCCGAAAGAAAAACAAACCAAGTTCACCAGACTCCTTACCTTTTGTCCTTTCATCATTTCTGATAATCAACAAACTTGAGTTATGTCACGAGCATTAGCTTTTCTATTCATTGGCTTTCTAGCCTATATACCACATACATCTGTTCAACAGCACGAGACACCCGTCGACGACATTGCGAAACCTTTACCAACAAAGGAACCTCTTAATCTTGAACCTTTCGAAACCATACTTCACGAATTAATTCAACGACAATATCGATATGAAATAGTTTATTATAAACTAGCGCTCAACAATGTTCTACCCAACTTCGCTCGACTATTTCACGAACAAAGTGAACAAAAGTATTCTTTCACTTAACAGTAGTTTCAACTGGCAAACATGCTTTTGTTTTCAATTTGTAGATATAGAGATGCCAAAGGTCTCATTCGACTCTATCAAGTACTTGGTATTGAAATGAATTTCACGAAAATCGAATCAAGTGGATACAAACCTTTGATAAAAGACTGGAATGAACTGAGTTCTACTAACTTCGTTAAATTCCTTTCAGTGTCACGCAAGGCAGAATGTCAAGTTGTACTCAACGCATTCAACAATCTGTCTAAGGTCAAATTCGATTATTCTGCACCATTACAAATGTATCTAAAACTGAAAGTTTTTCCAAAACAAGTTCTATTATGTAAACAATTATCGGATTTGCATGATCAGCTTGTTCGTTTGTATCATGCGACATCTGACAAAAGGACAATTCCAGCGTCGTTTGTTTATGTCGATTATCAAGTTAAAAAACTCTTCTCGAAATAAAATTCATTAAGTAGAGAGAAATAAAATGTACTAGAAGAAGGTTTCACGTCATCGAGCACATCGATCCTTATGGTGCAGACAGAAGAAGTTACACTTCATTAATGCTTTTCTTTTGAATTATTCGATAAAAGTACAAAGATGGTGGCAGAGGAAAAGATTTCATTCATTTCGAACACTTTCATAGAATGATGAAGATCACTTTCTTTTTGACAATTTGCACTTTCAGTTGTTTCAACGGGTTTTCAATTGATCGGTAGGTTTGATTTCCGAAACGAAAATGCGATTCTACTCATCTATTCGCATGTAGAGTCAAACGAGCAACAGTTGAAGAATTGAAGATACTCATACAAAGTAAAGGAGGACTTGCTTTTGACACAACTGTCGTACCAGAAGCAACGGAACCTCGAAAGTTTGTACAGAAGTAGATTGTTTTCGATACTATTTGATTTCTTTTCAAGATTTGCTTGTTTATTCGTATTTGATAAAGAAGCATCGAATGAACTTCAAAACAATTATGAACTTGGCAATTTCTATGCAACACAACTGGCTGATTTTGCATCGCGATACACCGCTCATGCCAATATTCTCATCACTAATGCCGGTGTCGAAATGTGGTCGGAAAAAGATCAAATCTCCTTTGATGTCGACAATACTGCCTATTCACCAATGCAACTATTCTTACCGAGATTTCAAACATATTTAGCAAACACGAAAAAGGAACTCTTCGGAACGGTTTATACTGTTGGAGTGTTGATTTCAAACAAAGGTTCACCTTTAGTTGGTGGAGGCTATTCTCAAGGACCCGCAAATACAACCTGGGGTAAAATTTGATAAGTAAAAAGCTTCCCTGATTCAAGAATTTCTTTGTAGGTGCGTCGATTATTAACTATCGATTTTATCCATGGGTTATTGCGGGTTTGCTTGCACATGAATTGGCACATACACTTTCTGTTATTCATCCCTTCGAATTGGAATATTTATGTGACGATTGTAAAAAACTACCATTTTGTCCGTCCGTCACATCGCGACCGATTCCTGCTGAATGTAAATGTGAAGGAGAACCATATCCCGCGAAACAGTGTTTAATGACATTCCAATTTGGCTTTGCATCGGAAAATGCGCCGAGATATACATCATGCGACATCCAAATGATGAACTTTTTCGCCTCCAATGCTTCCTGTTACTAAAAAAAGAAGCTCTTCGTTAGATTTTTCCCATTCCTACTATTTTAATCAAGTATCCTTGTCACTTTATTTCAAATAAAAAAAAACTCATCTTGTACACAAGTTTCCAATATCCGTTTCATTTCAGCGTGCAACCAGGAACAAACCTGTCAAACACAATCATGTGCTCAGAATGTGAATATATTCTCTTCAACATATAGAACAAAATCTCGTTACTTCACTGTTGAGTTGAAAAAAAAACGATCTTCTATGGCAAAGAACCTATCACTCGATGATCAAATATCTAACCATCGAAAATATGTTGTTTCCCCGTCAACTGTTCGTTCTCGTAGTGCTGAACAGATTCATCGAGATCGAACGGTTGATTGTCAAAATCGATTAGAGACAAATCGACGAAATGTTTTGTTTTCGATCATGGAAAAAGAACTTCGTCAAGAACAAATAGTACAAAGAATACGCATGCTGCATTTCTTGAATAACTTAAAACGCAAACATCCTCTGGCTCATTATTTTCTTCCACATGTCTTGTCTTCTGATGTTCACGATCTTCTCACTCCAATCGATTTTCATTTGATTCATTCACGAGTGAGTTTTGCAGTGGAATGAACAAGTTCACATAAGTTTATATAGATTCTTGCTACGACGAATGAGACAACTGCTTCGAACTATGACAAACGTTCACGTTCTCTTCTCACAAAGATTTCTGGTAAGATTTGATTCGACATATCACCAACTCTATGTCATAAAATCCATGCAGAGGAGAACAATGTGTTTATTCCACAAGATATTCAGAAACTGACTAAGTCAGAAGGTGATATGAAAGTATCTGAGAAACATCCGGTGAACAATGATGCTTTCTCCATACGGTATCAACAACTGCAACTGGCAATGCATACTCATAAAATCACCGGAAGAAGACCAGTCGATGATCAGATGAAGAACATAATAACGAACACGAGAAATGAACGTATTCGAGCTGCACTACAGAGATGTCAACAAGCGAAACTAAGAGATACTTATGAAAGCGAACGAAAAGTGCATGAAAGTGATCTGGCGACACGTGTAAATCTCTTCTTAAAGTAGTTTCTGATCTGACTGAGAACAGCTACATTTATTTATTCATATAAACCTCATTCACTTAGATAAATCTGCAATATTCTCCGCTTGATCGATATCAAATTTCTAAATAAGATATACACATCTGAGACATGATTGACATATAAGTCCATATCTTCTGTTGTGAAATCAAATCTCAATGTTGAATAGAAATGTTTGTCATCATATACAAATAAACACATGCATGTAGTGGCTTTCTATCGTTTGTCGATTAAAAGGAAAAAGAAGATGACTTCCAGCTGATAAACTCAAACTTCCTCCTTTCCTCCTTTCGTTCTCGACTGTAGTTGCTATAATACATAAATGGTAAATGTACAGTAGATTGAGAGAAGAGGAAGAGAAAAACAAGAGACGATGTAAAACGAGAAAGTGTGCGGAGAAATAATGTATTGTTGAATCTGTACGGATGTCGATTGCATTGAAGAAGACACAACGATGGTAAAAGAATAAAAACCAGATGAGATGAGAGGTGATGGAAATACGACGAGACAATAATCAAGAACAAAACAACAACTCTACCAACGATAATAAATCAGAACTTCATATTTGTCGCTTTGACGAAACAAAATGGTCGATGTTGTACAACAACAATCCACGAACAACGCTCAACTTAACGAAGATCATTCGCAATTAGACAATGATAATAAGACGAATAACAACAACAATAGCAGCAACTCACCATCAATATTAATGGATCAAATACAGGAACAACTAGTATGTGTGATAATTGTATTATCCTTAAGAAAGAGAAACGGTTATTATCGTATGTGTTGCCGGAGGATAATTTTCTTATCGCGAAAAGTATCTTTCGCAAATCTATTGAGAATTTTCATAAAATCATCTCTAATAAGGATTTTCTCGGTCATTAAGTACGTTTTCCATATTAAAAACAAAACAAGCTAACATATTTCCCAATCTATTTTTTCGAATATTGATTCTTAGCTGACATTAGCTGAGTTGAGAAAACACACAGAAGCCTTTCTAAATCTAATATTCAGATAATAGATCGTCTTGTAAAAGGAAAACATGCAACGAATAAACATTGATTTTTTTCTCCTTTAGACCCTAATACGTCAAGATGATGAGGAGTTGACAGAAAAACTAATGTCTATTTACAATGGTTTATGTCAACTTCGACAATCTATGACAACTTCTCAACGTAACTCAAATATGGATATTGCCGCTATGTCAGCTGGAGTAGATTCACCATCGTTAAGTCCTTATCAGACAAAACAACGATCAGATAGCGAACCAAACATTCTATCAGATCGTCAACGAATAATAACAGTGATAGAAGAATTACAGTAGATGTATAAAGACGTGTGACGTGAATGGCTAGTTTCATAGGAGAATTTGTAATTAAAAATAAAGTTTTATCAATTTCTTCATCTCGCTTCAGACTCCGAGACAACTGTTTCATGTTAGAAACTACAATTCACAGAATCAATATCGACGTATCTTCTTAAGACTGTGATTTTTGATACGATGAATAAATAATTCAGATTTTATCTATGCAGCAACACACATCTCCCGTTCTCAGGAGATCGAGCAACATAAGCGTTGAATCTATTCATCTATTTTGCTCACAATCTTAATCTTATCCTACAACACCTTTTGAAAAAAGCAACTTTACAAAAGAAGTATTTAAGCACAACAATGCTAAAACATACACCGATCACAATATTAAGATGAAGGAATCGATATGCCGGCCATATGTTACAGATTTCTGTTGGAGACTTGAGTAACACTTCATTTGTTTTGTTATCTTTTGTTAAAATGTGTCCTGATCGATCAAAACGAGAAATTCGATCAATTGGCGTTAATTTTTTCGATTTTTTTGCTGCACTCAACGACGAGTTTCCTTTAATCTTCTTCCAATTCAGCACAAACTGATCTTCTCTGCCCATATCTAAGAGAGCAATGCTTTGATTAAATCTATTAAGTATACCATTGCCACAACACATAAATGCTGATTGAACAACTTCAACACCCACCGAGCGAGGGACAATACCAGTGATAAAAGCATCATCAACCCAGATTTTTGGGTGAGTAGAATTGCTAATCGACGCTTCGTGTAACAAATGTAAGACATTTGGCGAAAGTAAATAACCGCCTCCACTACAGTGATTTGGATACACATTTGATTTCCAAAGTGATTCAGGAACAAACCATTTCGAATTCGGATCTCGAAGAACTGGATTTCCTTGCATTAAATGACAATAGATAGCGGATTTCGATTCATTCCTCACAGAATCCAAGAATTGAAACATTGATTGCACATTCACAATAGTATCATCGTCTGTATAGAGAAGCCATCGAGATGGACAATATGTTTTTGTCCATGCAAATAAAAAGATGACCTTCAATGTGAGATTATGGTAATTATCTATTGGTTTGCCCATGACTAAATCTTGATATTCCAAATCTTCTAAAGCGATATCTCGAAGTAAATTTTCATCGGTCGTCGCACCTAATATAAATATATATGGAATATGGTGTTGTGTAAGCTCTTTAAGCCATGTTAATCGAAGAACATTTCGTTGAAGACGATGATCGGGTGCGGATTTAATCGCGATCAATAACGGATGAGTGGTGTTCGGCAGATTTTCACAAACATTGATTTTGTTCAATATGACGAAATTTGTTTCGTTTAAATCTTGTATTGTAGGAATACGCATTGATGGAGATAATCCCATATATGTTCCTGTCATAAAGCTTAGAATGAGGAATATATATGGAAATTGTGTCATTTTCGAAGCCATCGACATGCAGTTTAGTATTTTCATTCGATATTGTGTTCTCTCTACTGATCAAGCATAAATGAAAAGTAAGAAATATTTCAATATGTTTATTTATCGGAATATCATCTGTGACCAGAACTAACTTATTGAGACAATCTGTTGCATTTCATTTGATACTCTTTTTCTTCTCATGGAAACAATAACATATGAAAATATTTTGTGATTTATATTTTTAAGATAATGTAAGCATGATGGACTGGAAGTTTGTGTTTATCCGGCATTATTCGCGTATATCCGATTTTTTAAACCAAAAATGGGTCAACTTGTGAGAATGCATGATCAACTGTAGTTTTGATCATATGGTATACTGAATGTCTGAAATGTCCGTAAAAAGGAGACATCTATTAATCAAACTTCATGAATTTTTTTTTCTTCTTTAAATCAAAGATATTTTTTCTTCTTTCTTGTTCTAACATAACGATTCTCATGTGAGCAAAAAGCATACATTCTTACGTTTTTATAGTTTTTTTTTGCTGCTTTCACAGAGGAAAAATTTTCAGGGCTGAGTTGAGCTGCGTAAAGTAACAGAAAGAAAAAGAAGAAGAAGGAGAAGAAGAAGAGAAAGAGAACAATAGAGAGTTCTGTGCCATGCAACGTGATGGACGCCGATAGTGACATGTATGGAGTAGATAGGAATGGCTTTCTCGAAAGCTCGTATCAAGTTAATGATGATGTTTCGATTCCTGTTTATGCGAACGTTCAATTATATCCATGTTCGACCTGTGGTCGATGCTTTAATCCTGAGTCGTTGGTGAGGACTTATAGAACGAAAATTTTCAAGTATGATGATTCATTTTGTTTTTTTCTTCAAATTTTCAGCGTAAGCACCAGCCAGTTTGTAAAAAGACTGTTCAAAAACAGCCGAGGAAAGTGTTCGATACTGGAAAACAACGTGCTACCGATTCAGATGTGCCTTATTCAGCAACCAAAGAAACTACACAGGTTTGATGCAGAATATTTAATGAGAAAGTTCATTGAATCCGAGCTTTTTCAGTTTTATAATGAAGGCGTCAAGCCTAAACAAGATTTTCCAAAGAAGAAAGCGACAAATTGGAGGGAGGGACATGCTGCACTTGTGCGAACAATTCGTGAAGCGCGACAAATAACACGAGCTATAGAAACCGGTGCTCCCTTACCCAAACAAACACCTTCACAAATTCCAACTGATTATGTCCAATGTGATTTTTGTCAACGGCATTTTAATAAACATTCTGCTGAACGACACATTCCTTTGTAGGATTTCGACACGTTTGTCATCAATCAAGTCAATCGCTTCATTGTCTTTTCAGTTGTGAAACCCAACATAAACGTAAACAAATGCAATCTGCAACCGGTCCGACGGGAGCACCATCATCAGCAGGTAGTACACGTACTGGTACGGGAAGTATTGGTCGTCAAGGACGTGTAAGTTTTGTTTTTGGTATCAAAAGAACAAACAAAGTCATTGTTTTCTTTTGTCTACAGGGAAACCAACAACAACAGCTAAGTAAGTAATTAAAAACAAGATAAAAGATCAAAGAAAATAAACTTGTGTGATTCATCAGATTATGAGACACCTGTTGGAAGTGCTAATAAACAGTATCAAATTAATTCAGCACCTTCGAGCTATGCGTCGAGACGTGCAGCAAAGTAACTAACAGCAAAAATTGATTCATTCTATGAAATCAAATAAGAAAAACGTCTTTTTCATCTAGAAATAACGACGAAAGAGAATTTCGAAGACCACCGATCAATCCAAATACATTCAAAAAGCCAAATTACGGCGAAGTAAACTCCACCGTTAAACAATCTCTTCAACTCATCATTGATACTTTTAGACCGTGACAAACAATACAAATGGTACGCCACCGAAATATGGTAGTTTTCGTTCAACAAAAATACGAAGTGCTGCGGGTGCTTATGCACCAGGGATGATGCGAACGGGTCGCACAATAGAAAACGATGATTTGAATGTGGTTGCAGCAGCTGGACGAGGACAACAAAGGAGCGATGCTTCACCACAGTTACAACGACGAACCGGAGGAATCAAAACTCGATCTCCAAGTCCAGCACGTCGACCATCGTTGACGAATGGTGGTTTTCAACAGAAACCAAGAACACAAGTTCCATCTTCAGTAGCTAAACATTGTCATGAATGTGGCGAAGCTTTTCCTGTCGAATGGGCAAAGTTTTGTTGTGAGTGTGGCGAAAAGCGTTTAGGTCTTTAATTATTCTTTTTCCATATTTGTGTATTTTAACTAATTATACGCTGTATATAAAACTGAACTACGTACAAATGAACAATATCTGAACGTTAAAATGACAGAATTCTTATTGGTTAGCTCAATTTCCTATCTTCTGCTTTCTTTCCTTATGAAAATGCGTCTAATTTATTATTTATCTTAAGCCAGGCAAGAGAGAAGAATCATTTTCCATTTACGCGCTGAATAATTTCGACAAATTTTTGGTTGTGCTTGTTTTCTCGTAACGAATCGCTTCTCATTAATACATGGCGTGTCGAAATGGAACAAAGTATACCGAAGAAAAGTGTTCCGATTTACGAAGTAATCGATTAGATAGATTTGTCAAAGATTGCCAAGGCGGAACTATCACACTGCCTCCCAGACAATTCAATTGTCCATCTTGTGTGAAACCGAAAATGTCTTCTTGCCAAATACCATCATGGATGAAACCCCCATGCGATGGTTTGTCGAGAGAATATTCTCATGAAAAATTTAACCCACTTTGTTGTTTTTTCAGGTGTCAAATGTTTTAATTGTCCGCCAAAGTATCTTTGTCTTGACACAGATTCTTGTCGATTTGAAAACGTAATTCGAGATAAGAAATAAAGCGTAGAAGATTACTATTGTATACTTATAAACAACGATGCATGTATTTGACGGAAACGAATCATATAAATAGAAACTTTCGTTACTATTTCATCAAAACATTCAGTATCTGACATACACACTGTACAAATCGATAAAAAAAAAACAGATAAATAGAAAAACAATTCTTCTAGGCATTGATTGACATTTGCTGATATTGAGTCAATTGACCTAAGAAATTGAAATTAGGATTGATGATACTTCGTTGTTGTTTGACAACTTGATATGCATCGTCGAAAGTTTTCGAGTGGTATTTCATTAAGTAACCGATAATAAACGATGGACTACGACTAACACCTCCCTGGCAATGAACAAGAACATTTTTCTTTGCTAAGAGTTTCTTGTGGATGTATTCGAATGTTGATTCGAAATATTGAAGTATGTTTTGATTGGGAGAATCGTGACAAGGTAATCGAAGATAATCGAAATAGTTTTCATGTTCGAAATAACATGGAATTGATGTGGAAATGTTGATTATCGTATGGATTTTATGTTTTTGTAGACAAATCAGATCTTCAGCATCACGCGAACTTCCCAAAAACAGACCAGGTAACACTTCAGATATTGGAAAGGTTTCAATATCTAAGGGTTTAACTGTCAATAACGAAGACGACGATAATGATGATGAAAGATCTTCGTCGGTCGATGTGCTCACATAACATAATGACGAATAGTGCTGATAAAAATCATCGAAAGTGGATTGAAGAATAAATATTTGTTTAGTATTGTCATATCGTTTGATTTCGTCATAAACACATTTCATTGATGGCGAAAGTTGCATGGGAGTGGATAAATTGACACAGCCAGCCGATGAACGGAGAAAATCGTCATATAAAACAACGATTTCATGAGTATCCAAACGATTCAATTGCGTTGCATCTAAGAAATTTTTCAAACCACGGGTTGATAGACGTTTTCGCGAAATTTTATCATTCACATTCAATAACAATGAATTTGTAATTCGTCGTTCGGTGTGTCGAAGCGGTGATCCACAATCGATGATCAAAGCCGATTGTTTTGTTATATAAACAGCTACTTGGGCATTTGTTACAAAGTTCGAATCAGAATTTTGATCGAATTTCACTACGTTATTAACTACAGGTGTTTGTTGACAAACAAGCATGTTTTTCTCTATTGTTGTTACTGTATTTGATAGGACGGGTAAGAATGAAGTATGCTTTTGTTCTGATGAAATGGTTTTTATATAGGTAGATGATGCATGAGTAAGGCTTTGACGTCGTAAAAGCCCAGGTGCAGAACGACAATTTCGTGCACTCTCGAAAAAACCTACGGTTGATGACTGCATCCCATGATGTTGATATTTGTCCTTTGACTCATGGACTAAGAAATCTATTGGATAGAAAGAGAAAAAATATTTTAGATGAAGCAATGCACTGAGTGTAGGCAGAGGAAAGAAAGTAAGAGAACAAACAAGAAATATCCAGAAAGTGGCTTGATGAAATTTTCTTATGACGCGATAATTACCTATCTTGAATCTTTTATGATAGTCTTCATTGTTATCATAGGAAAGTTTTATAAGAGCAGTTGAATGTTCGTTTTGTTCACTTAAGAGGCGTTTGCGACATGACATTTTGTAGGAATGTGTGTCAATTGGAAGACGAGTTGGAAAATGTACTATTGGTGGCAATTGAGGAGCCGATTTTGGAACGATACATATGCTCATACTGTTAAGCGAAACAAATCTAAAGAAAAATCAGAACTAAGCATATTTATATAGAATTGTCAAGACAAAGTCGTTCTTTTTTTTTCTTCCTACTCTGATACAAAAATAAACGGTCGACATGGAACTATCGGATTACTCATATTGTTGCTAAAACAACACGATGAAGTTAGAAAAAAAACACAAAAAAATCGATGAAGGCGTATTTTATTCATCGACTTGACTAACGATATGTTTGGACTTGAGACAAAACAATGGTAATAAATTTTACCTTTTCGTATTACTAATAACATAACTGATTCCTATATCTCATCTAACGTCATGTGAGAACTTGACTCATTGTTACCAGATGAATCTGTGTTTATTCGTTTTATCAAACAACAGCAACACAAGACTAGAAATGAAACTACTCGATTCGTTTATATATTCCGTCAGAAAATGCATTGATAATAATGATGAATATATCACGCACTACGTACGTTGAGAATGTGACCTATATGACGAAGCAAACGAGACGAGTGTACTTTTCTGTTCTTTGAATATGAAATCATGATGCACTTTCTCTTCATACAACAAAGTTTGATTGATGAGGAAAGAACACCTATTGATTATTCTTTTCAACATAGAAATTCAAGATATGCTTAATTTCTAACAGTCATTTATTCATAAAAGACAATCATAAACTGGAAAGAAACTACTGACACCTTTTGACACGTGATGCAACAACACACAGCAACAATGAAGAAAGGAAAAATAACGGGTATTTATGTTCCCTTAGCAACACACTTGTGAAAAGTCTTCAGTTATTAATGGCAGCAGCTTCTGATCGTCCATCGGCAAAACTTTGTCCGAAAACAATCGATCCGTTTTCAAACTCGACCCGAAGATCCGTATTTCAAAATGCATTTACATCTGGACGGATTCCCTGTCGACTCGTTCATGGTTCTGTTCGAAATCGTCTAGCATGGAATACATCAATCGACGATCTCAATTACGATCCTTTACTTGTTTTATTGGCTGAAGGTTTACGTGAAACGGATCATCCACTTCCATTTATTAGTCGACAAGGTTTCACCGAATTGATGGCGAATCCGAATGCTCCACCAAAAGTGATTCCGATCTTACCGAATTTAATCAATCCAATCAAATTGGCGTTAAGTTCAGATAATGATGAAATCTTCGAAGGTGCTTTGAATGCTTTAACACAATTGAGTATCGTTGTGAAAGATGAATTAGATAAATATTTGAAAACTTATTTGAGTATTGTAAGTTGAAAGATAGCTGAGAGAGAATCCTGAGATTTTGTCGATGTTTTAGTTAGCGAAACGAATGTCCAATCGGAAATTTCGGGATATGGTAACGAATTCGTTGAATACTTTTGAAGAAAAAGGTGGCAAAGTAAGAAAAACGATTTCTCTTACTGGAATAGCGTTTTTATTCTTGTTTATTTAGGATGTTTTGGTGATTATTAAATCAAAAATACCAACATATTGTAGTATTCATATTTAAAAAACAAAATCCAAGAGTTTTCTGTAAACAAGTCTATTTTTGAATGATATTTCATAACTATAAACGATGTTCGTCACGTTCTTCTATTTCTTCTTTGTTTTCTCTGCCTAGAACACAAAATCAGATACAAAACATTCATCCGGTCATCTTTACTTGTTGTTTCGTTTGATTTTCAAACACTTTATCAACTTGTTTGACGCTATCCCTCACTCGTTCATTCAACTAAACACGAAAAAAAAGCGTTTTCTTCACGAAAATCAGTTCTTCTCACTCGTTTCAGATTCGTTTTCACCGCTTTCGGTTTCTTATTTTGTTGTTGTTGTTTGACCTTGGTCTTCTGTGCAATCGCACGATTTTGTTTTCCCATCTAAAATATCTGTTAACATTAATTACTCGTGTTTTTTCCTTCTGAATTCGCCAGCAACAACAACAAAAAAAAAGCAAAAAAGATGTTTTTCTTATTCAAGAGAATCGACATTCGTCACACATCGTATTTACAAACAAACAAACACTGTTCGGCAAGACAAAAGATAGATTTGACTAGAGAGAGTCCATTTGTTGCACATTAAAGATCATCTTATGAATTTGAAGACGTTTCGATGGACTATCGTGATGAGATAACAAACTTGAACGTAGATGAGTTATTAAATCATGACGAATCGATGGTAGAAACATTCCGATCAATTCATCTGAAAGGAAAAGAGTAAAAGTTTGAGAGAAATGAGAAGAAGTATGTTACCGGGAATTTTGAATTGATAATCATCGAGTAGTTTGGTGAATAGTTCATCGTTGTTTAATGTGCGACGGTTGATCAACAAGGAAATGTCTGGATGATTTTGATTCAAAATTAAATTCGAAAGATTTTTTGAAAGATTGACTAAAATCAAAAGAAGATTTTAAAGACAAACTTCTTTTCAAAGTGATTTACTTTGTTCATCTGCTAATTGAATCTCCGCTTCCAGATCCGCTCGATCTTTTCTCAACAGAAACCAAATTTGAATGAGTGTCAACGATTTTGGACGTGTGAAATTCGTTCGAAATGGAAGACAACAAAGATTATTCAACAAATACTCCGCCACATCTACTCATACATGCAAATATTTCAATCATTTCAACTGAAAATGATTTTACCTTGACTGCAATTGAAATACTTCATTATTTCACTAAGACATTGATGAAAAGATATAATCAATGTGTCATTCAAACGCGCATTCGACCAAAAATCAACAATTGCTTGATCACAGTGAGATAATACTAAACAAATAGATAGAAAACATCAAATACGATGATTCAACGTACTTTGTTGAATATTCTGGTGTGGATTTTGATGCCAAGATATCGCTGTTTTCAATTGATCGTATTGATCACGAAACCGTTGGAAAACAAGATCATCGTCGGATTTCGAGCGATTTTGAATATACTGAAAGAAGAGCATGATGAGGTTCGAATAAAAGGCGATGAAAACTTACATGAAGAAGAATCAAAATTCGGTTGAGAATATCGACAAAGATGCGGTTCATATTTGATTTAAAATGTTCATTCTGTTTGATTTGTTTGACTTGTTGTTCGCCCTCAAAACCTGAATCGATTGTTTTCGATGTCTCGTCATCATCGATTGCATTGAGAAAATTGAAATCACCAAGAACGGTCTCAATTTCTAATATGGATTCGGTTTGTTCACGTATTTGAACTTTGATCATTTTATCCAAATCATTTATAATCTCTTCGATATTTTCCAATTCAATTGAAAAAGTTCGATCAATCAAACGTAAATCATCTAAACATGTTCGAACTTGTTCAATCAGCAAATCAAGTTCATAAATCGATTCATTATCTTTGATATCTTCTTCTTCATCTTGACAATATTCATTTGAAGTCGCAGAAGAAAGTTCATCAGAGTTTAACCCACCAGCAAACGAAGATGACGAGTACGATGAAGAACGCGTATCGTCATGAACCAGAATATTCTCCGAAGGTACTTCTTCTGGTTTGTTATCTAAGTTAATTTCATCATAATGATTGGTTTCGTCCGATAATGGTGTATAATCTAAATATTCATGATTATTTTCAGAATTTAAAGGACAAAACGTGGATAAACGGTGCGATGAAGAAGAAGATGACGACGAGGAAAATGAAAGAGTATCATTCACAGTGCGAAGTAATGTCGTATTTCCAACAAACATTGACCACGTTCGTGTAACATCGTTGTATGTTCGATTGGGATTGTAAAAAGTGAATTTTGTATCGACTTGATCGTATAAACTAGATGAAAAAGATTAAAAAATTCTTTCTTTTTGCTCATGAATAGAATAATTGAAGTGAAATGAACATGTCAAGGACATTTTTAAGTTGAATTAGTCAAGGGAATAATCTTGCATTAGAGAAATTCTTCTCAAGGGAATGAACTAACATAACGGAAATTACATAGTTTTATTCTGACAAAGAGATGGATGAGCATGCAGAATCTCTGTTAATTTATCGTTCGATACTCACTCCCAATGAATTAAAAAGATCAATTTAATCGTTCCGCTCTGATTCGCATTGATAATCATTCGTTGTGCTTCGATCGAATAGAAATTATTCACTTCAAAACACTTCGTTCCAATGGTTTTCAGTGAAACACCCAATAATTTCACTTCGTTTACTTTAATCAACAACAAATCAGCTAGTTTAGCTTTTAAATGAAAGATTTGTCGTGTCCAGATTTGTTCAGTTCTATCATGTTTACGTATTCGACCACGTGTTTTCCATTTCTGTTGTCCATAACGAATGACAATTTCGTATTCATCTCCAGGACATATCCGCGAGAAACCACTAATTTCTTGAAGGCTTAACACAAACGTTCCTAACATCGCTTCCAATTGAGCTTCTATTGCACATAAAGTCTAGAAAATGAAACAAAAATAAACATTATCTTCTCGCGATGATAAATGGCCTCGTAATGAAAAGAGAATGTCAGCAATTTGGTTCTGATTAGGTCATATTTTGGGTTAACTACACTCGATTACGTAACATGTCAAACTAACTTGAGTGCATTCTTTCAAACCCAATTTGACTTGATCGATTGAGTCTCGTTTAGTTGATGTTTGTTGATATGCGTTGAACATCGTTCGTGCTCCATCAAGCATATGAGCATATCGACAATAACAGTCTTTTAAACTTTGTAATGAAGCTGTGTGGGCTTGTAGTTTCAGATAAGCAACTTGAGCTTCATGCAATTGCTAATAGAAGGCAAACGAATGAAATTAACTTTTGTTGATAAAAGGATTTACTCGTGCTAATTGATGATTTTCATTTGCAACAGATTGAATCAGTTCATCGATTTGATGTTTACATTTGCGGCTATGTTCTTCCAGGACTTTTAACACACTTTCAAGTGTTTTTAATGTTCGAGTGATTCGCGGAGTTTTCGGAATCGATGTCTGAGTTAACTGCGCTTGTTTTTTCAATCGTGTTAGATCGATCTGCTCTTGACCGAGAATTTCCGCTAAAACAAACCGTTCATAAAAGACTTTTTCCAATAAGAACCACTCACGTATTGAATTATTCATCGTTATCGAACGTTTTGTAAATGATGTTAGTCGATTAGTAGACATTCTTATGTTGGTCTAAAATATGCAGATAGAAACAAGAATGTGTAAACGAACAGATTCTTTTTCCTTGCTTCTGTGAACGATGCTCATACGTGTCTATATGTAACGTTCTCTAGAATGTATAATCACTTGTCATTGAAAGGCAACTCTTTTTTTTTCTCTCGTTTCTCTCTTACATCATAAGAGAGTGTAGACAGATGAGATGGAAAGCACTGTAGTCAACCACTCGATTCTTCACACTTGTTCTGTTCTCGGTTTCTTTTCTTATTGACAATGATGAATGATGTCCATGAGCTTCTGAATAAGTACGTCATTCAAATATAAAACAAGACATTGAACTTTCAATTTGACTTCTAGGCTATTGTAAAAAAGAAAAAGAAGAAGAAGAAGAAAAAACGAATGTTATTAACAAACGACCTTAAGAGTCGTTTATTTAAAAAATATTTTTATTTATTCCTGCGTGAAAGTATGTGGTTCATATTTACAACATTGAAATAGTTCTTTTCATGCTGAAGGACAAAGAAAAAATACATCCGACCTTGGAGGAGAATAAAACACGAAATAGATCAGTTCAAATTTCTTAGTTCCTTCTCTAAACAGCCAATGATTACAGACAATTGACTTTATCATCGTGTCTTCTTTTTTGAATGACTTCAAATGACATCTGTTGTAGAATGAAATGCACAAATTCTTCGAACGCAATGAAATATCGAGGAAAGGCAAAATATTTATGTTTGTTCTTTATTGAAAATTTTCATTTTCGACGATTTTCGATTGATTTATCTTCCAGAGAATACCAACCAATGAAATTCGACAGTTTCTTTATCAAAACTGATGATTAAACTGAAGAAAAATTAAACTGAAAGAGAAATTCGAAGAATAACGCAGAAAAGAACAAGAGTGGAGACAAAAGTCACTTCCGAAATCTATTCAAAGTCATATACTCTGTTTTCTCTCCTTTGATCATAAAATGAGACTTCTCCAACTGAAAGATGTCACATTCTGAATACTAGACGAGAAAACTCGTTGAATTTTTCTTCTTAGGTTTTAGATTGAAGACTTTTATGAGTATGAGAAATCTACCCTAATGAAAAACGATGATTTCGCTTCATCTGTTCAGGTTCAAAAAGCAAAACATTGAAAAAGGCATCGACCACCAGTTCATTGGCTGATTATACTTTGTACAAGTATGCGGATATACAAAACTCATGGATCATGTGTGAAGGACATTTGAATTATCGTTACGATCGAATCAAATTATTGAACATTTCGCAATGTAAATAGAGATTTTCTTTTTCAGTTCTCATTCGATGCCATTTTAGTTGCAATATTTTACGTTGTTCTCGCCAAGATTCCAACTGATGGTGGAAAACAGATCGTGGGAGTTTATTTGTATCGAAATCAAAAGCAAAATCCATCGAATTTCTTTCAATTGGACGAATACGATCGGTAAGGCTAACGAAGAAATCTCGTAAAAGTTCATTTGGTTTGGATAAAACAGAATTTCTGATCAAAGTGCAAAGACGATCAAATCGAAATATTTTCTCTTTGAATTAATCGGAAAAGATCCGAATGATATCGAAATCTTCGGCGCTGCTGATGTCAACGAACGAGATGTATGACAAAAGAAAATTTCGCTTTTCGCGATCAAAATATGTTTCAATTAGAAATGGACGAAACATTTGAATGAAGCATTGAATTGGACAAGACAAAACTCATCGTCAGAGAAGTTAGTAATCGAATAGAACAGAGGATTTTTATTGTCGTCAATCAGTTTCTCCGTAGCTCATCTGGTTATAAAACATAGTCGGAGAAATATTGCACCAAATTCGGGTATTTTTTGTTCTCAAACAAGATTTCTGATTCGCTCATATTCTTGCTACTTTGATGTAAAAAGACAAGAGAATTAGATATTCTATCGTCTGTTTTTAGAGCATTCGAATGCGGATGTTCGATCGAATTATGAACCATTTGCTGTGTAAGTTACCTTATTCGCTTTCACATGATTCGAATTTTTGGATTTAGTCCAAACACAACGATGAGTATCGATGAATTCGAAAGTAAAGCTGATGAGAGCAATCGAAATTCAGTATTGAATAACGTGTTTCTGGTACCTCATCGACCTGTACCTCCAATTCCGGTTGCAACTGAGCGGAAGTCAACCACTGATCAAGAAACAGAAAATATTTATCTCGAGGCACAAGATCTACCTGTGTATGTTATCCAACAAGAAGACGAACCGAAATCTGCTTTACCAGACGACTTGGTAGATAGACAAAAAGTTCGTATTCGAAGATAAAGATTCTGTCTCGTTTAGATCTTTTCTTGGAAGAATATTTTCTATTCGAATGAATATGATGATCATGCGAGGTAAAAATAGATTGAAATCAAAACTTCATGAGTGAGTTTTTTTTTGTTATGAAAGCATTTTGAATGATATTGGTGAAATCGGTGCATTTCTAATTCGACCACAATTGAAAAGAAACAAATCGAAAGATCACGAATACGTAAGCGAGGAAATTTAGGAAGACAATAAACGAAAATATCATTCAGACCTTGAGCATCTACGCATTCGGCGGAATCATTAAATATAAAATTTTACATTTGCTGGTAAAATTGTTTGAAAATCAGAAAATCTCTACGAACGATTATCAATCTTTAGAATGGCAAATTCGGTTTGACATTGGATGATCAAGAACCAAATTTCGATACGATTCCCGATCTTTGTCAATATTACACAAATCACTCATTACCACGTTCACCGTTACGAGATGATCCGATCAAAGGACCCGTAGGGAATCTTTCGTTAAAATGGCCTTACACATACTATTCTCGTTTTTCGAACAAATTTTAATACAAAATCAGAATAAATCCATTTTTTTCGTGTGTGTTTCAGATCCTTCACATTGAATGGGTACATTGAAAACCATTTTGAATAAATTAGCCGGAGGATCAAAGTCTCTTTACGAATATGAAACATACAAATACGACGAGATCGATTCCAAGTGGATTATTTATCAAGATCAATTACAATATTTACATAACAAAAGTATCCTTGGCGAGTCTCTTTGTATGTTGATGTGAAAATTTCCTTTTTAACAATCAATCGAATCATTTTTAGTTAAAACAATTCATGTTGTCTTAGCTCAAGTGCCCATTCAACATCTCAATGATATCGTTGGTTTGTATTTATATATTGACGACAAAAACACACCGATTAATTTTTTCCAGATCAATCAGAAAACAAAGTAAAGGCGAAAATTCGGCTTTTGAAAGATTGATTGTGATATTTATGTTTTAAGGATAATTGAGCGATGTCGGAGAGTGATTACACCGATACCTACGTGTTTCTTATTCGAATTGCAGTTGAATGATAGAGAAGAATCAGTGATCTTCGGTGCAAAAGACGATCAGACACGAAAAGTAATTTTTAGAATATTTTTTTCTTTAAAAAAATCGTTTTTAAGGTTTGGATAAGTCAATTGAAAAACGTTCTATCTCAATCGAATACCAAAACTAAAGATCAAGAGCCTTAGTATGTGAAGTCAATATATTTTTTCTATTCTGCTTTCTATTTTGTTCGTTTCGTCAGTTTAACACCAACACCTTTGATTGAATCTGATGTAAAACCATCAGTTCCTCTAACATCAAGTATTAATCAAAATGCTCTATTCGATTCTTTCATTGACCGTCACTGAAATGTTCTTTTCTTTTATTTGAAGGTATACAACCCTGGTATCGACCGTTCGAACGTGGTAAGTTCGATTTCAGTGCTTTTGCCATTGAGAAATTAAGCAAATTGATTTTTTAGATTAGTAAGTGACAATCACTCGAGGAATATCTTATTAACAAGAGATTATTTTAGTTTAACAAGCAATTCTCATCATGTCGATCGTATGTCACTGTTCTAACGGCTATTTCTTGGAGTTTTAGAGAAAATTTTAGAAAATGCCGGACATCTAAAAACGGAATCTAATTCCGAACCACCCGTAAATAATAAACAAGAAAATTCTATTCTCTCCACGAGAATTTTCATCTTTCAGGGTATTCTATGGAATGAAATTTTCTATTCGAACGATAAAGACGATTATATCGAGTAACAAATCTCAATTTTCATCATGAATTTTTCACAAAACTTTCTTTCGAATAGCGTTTTAACAAGAACGGGTCAATCTGGTGTGTTTCTTATTCGACCACAATCCAAAAAGATCAGATCAAATGATCACGATTATGTAAACACACTACCCTCGAAGAAAACACAATATTTCCACATGTTTCTTTCTAGACATTATGTTTATATCACAAATTACTTGGCATCCGCAGTTTCCCCATTTATGAAATCAAATCACGAGTAAATAAATCATAATAATCAATGTAATGTTCTCTTTGAAATGTCGCTTTAGGAAGCTGAATATAGTTTAGCGAGAAAAGGTCGCGAAACTTTCGCGGATATGCTTCAACTCTGTCAATATTACATGCGAAATCCATTGCCAATGTTGACTAAAGATATTTTTTTAACTAAACCTTATAAACATTGTGAACATAGACATTGATCAATTGAAATAAAATTCAACAATTGTTTTCATTTATTTATTATAATATTTTTTTCAGAATGAATCAAACTAAACCAACGTATGATCGAATACAACCCAGCATTATCTACGAAGATAAAATTCAGTGTAAAAAAGGTAAATTTTTGTGTAAAATGCTGCAAATTTTCACTGTTTATTCTAGATCAAAAGCAATATATCGGTTGTTTAGCTAGATTCTTTTACTCTGACGGATTTCAGCGTACGACGTTGCATTTATTTGAAAATAAAACACCGAAAAGTTCTTGTCTTTCTTTCGAATTACACGATTATGAAAGGTAAAAACACTTCCTTGTTGTTCAAAAGTTTGAAATGTTGTTCATAGAGTGGAATCGTGTGTTGAACAAAAGAAAGAAACTGCATGGAAACTTCCATCGTTGAGTAGAACTACTTATGCGTTTCAATTAATACCAAGACATAAAGAAAAAGTCCAAATATTCGTTTGTGAAACCGAAGAACATCGAAATGTAATTTGCAAATCTTTTCTCATGTGTGTTCATCTCTTCTCTCGAGTAGAAATGGATGGAGAAACTCAGTGAAAGCATTGCAAACTTCGAAACTCTGGAAAATTATGCTTATGATCCGTATGTACCATCACCAGCTCGTTCTTTTCGTGTAGAATAATCTATCATTTGCAGAGAATCACAAGTAGATGAGGGTAGTCGTACATAGATGATTGCTGCTCGCTGTACGATATTTGCTCGACAAGAAAAATGAGATAATTGTTTTGATTTAGTTGAGGAAGAAAAACCTGTCCTGCGAAAACCAGCACCACCTGTACCGAACAGAACGAAACCGTGAGTTTGTTGACTATTTTGTTTTCGTTTATGAAGACCGTTATTCTTTAGTGTTATGGATAATCGAATGGAAATAAAGAAAGAATCAGCGAATTTGAACTACGTTACAGTCAATTCGAAGAAATCATCAGTAAGTAGAAAGATTCTATCACTTTCATACAATGAAAATTTCGTATTTATTTAGTTATGCATAGATGATCTTTTCTACGCAGGAACGTTCGATGAACTGCACAAGTTTGCTAATCTTTCTTTCATCATTGGATTTTTATTTCAATGTCATTGTAGAATCTTCATGCAAATCGATAAACCTGGTGTGTTCGCTGTAATGGAGAAAGCTAATCCAGAATATGATTGTAAATTGGTAAATAAACAAAGAAATCATCGAAAAATCGTTCATTTTCCATTACATAGGCCATACGTGTCTACGAAAATCAACACTCACCCATATCATCATGGAATATTTATCATAATCATCAGGTATTGACATCAATGCTTCTTGGAAGATTATGAATGATTTTGTTTCTAGATGAATGAATATCATCTTGTGGAAAATGGTCCAACTTTTGCAAATATTGTGGACTTGTGCTCACATTACATGAAAAATGATTTACCAAGCAAATCAAGCACAATCAATCGTTTAATTGCGCCATATAAATTCCATTTTCATTGATTTTTGTTTGTTTTGAATAAATTTGAATTTTTCGTAATTCGTTTCAGATATTCTACAGAATGTTTTGTTTGTTGAAAATATAATTCCTATTTATTCTTTTATTTTATTGATTATCTAATAGTAACTATGTCATCATCATCATCATCATCACCAATCTCATCATCCGCATCTGCAACGGCTTCTTCCGATGTTTTACCTCAGCAAATTGGAAAAGCTTTTGTTGTTCAATATTATCGTCTTCTTCATGAACATCCCGAGTCCTTACATCGATTCTATTCATCTGCATCGACATTTTTGCACGATGATCCTCAAAAGACAGCACAAGGAATTGAAAATATTGCTAAACGTATTGGTGAATTGTCACTAAAACAACGTCATGTGAAAATTCGTCAAGTTGATTGTCATTCAACAGTTGGCTCATCCGTTGTTGTGCAAGTTTGTGGTGAAATCTCACTATCACCGGTAACAGATGGTCAACCACCAGTTATGAAACGTTTTGTTCAAACATTTATTCTTGCACCGACTGAGAATGCTAAACAAAAGTATTATGTGCATAATGATATGTTTCGATATCAGGATGGAACATTGCAGAGTTTAACAACAGAAAATACCGCCACTACAAAGACGATAGCAACGCCAGAAAGTAAAAAAGGTAGATGAAATTTTCGTATTTTTTCAAGTGACATATTAATTTCGAATATTTTAGTGATAGTATCAGAAAGTACACCTCCGAAACCACCTAAAAGTCCGGCTGTACAAATACCGGTGACACCACTCTCATCTGCAGTGAAAATCGAATTTTCGGACAATACAATAACGAAGAATGAAGGTAGATGTTCATTTGGCAACAAATTTCGTTGAAAATCTCTACGTTATTAGCGAGTCCTACGAAAGAACCACCGTCAAAACCTAAATCCTACCGAGACGCAATTGGAAAGAAAGAAAAAGTAGCATCAACACCTACCAACGACACTCAATCACTGCCATCGTCAACAACCGCAGCAGCACCAACTGCGGCACCCACAGGAACAGTGAAGGTAGCAAAATCCGGTAAACAAAAAGCATCGAAAGCCGGCAACAAGAATGCACGCGCTGCACGCGGTCATCCCCAAGACGCGAATGATTATTATGATGATTCATGGTACTATGGAGGAGCGGAAGGTTATTTACATACCGGTTATGTCGACGATCAAGAAGTATTTGTTGGAAATCTTTCTGCTCAAGTCACTGAAGAAGAAGTAAAAGAAAATCTGACAATTTCCTTAGTTCATTATCTTCTTCGTTTCAAATCTAGATTCATGAATTATTTCGACCCTATGGTCGTTTACTTCTTGTTCGTATTGGAAACACGGGATCTCAAGTTGGTGCAGCAAATTTCGCTTTTGTTGTTTGCGAATCAATTGAAATGGCAAAAGCAATTGTTGCTGATCATGATACTCTTCTCAAGAACCAAAAAGTCAATGTTGAAGCAAAAAAACGCCGTCCATTTCCACATACATTTCGTCCAACCTATCCAACTGCTGCTTCTCCAACAAATTATCAATCAACTGGTTATCCTGCGTCGTTCTACGAAAATTCAACATCAGCACCATTTTATGATGGAGGGGCTCGTGGCCGAGGAACACGACGTGGCGGAAAAGGCGGAACACATTAGGAACAAGTAGAAATACCAGTTTAGTTCTTCTTTTGTTATCCATTCTAACTATTCAAAACATTTTCTTTCTTTTTGGATAAAGTGACAAGATTATCATTGCTATTTGTTACTTTTTTTCTTTGTATCACTGATGGAATTCTCGGGGATTTTGAACTCTTTTCTATTTCTGTGTTATGTTCTTGTTTTGTCTTTGTTATTGTTGACTTTCATCTTGAAAACTATTCATTACTTTCTAAAACAAAAGAAAATTTATATGACATTGAAGATCATTGTAGAATTAACATCGTTCTCCTAAGTATTTCAATGTATCAAAAGATCGATCAGAGAGAAGATCAGGGAAAGCACATTATCTACAAATGTGATCATAACTCTACAAAAAACGATGATTAGTAATGTGTACAGAATAATTTCTTATCAATTGAACGATGGTTTAGATCGCGAATTTCAGTCAATTCTCGTTCACATCAATGATTTATATAAACGAACGAGGAGAACCGTTCATGATATTTTGTTGAAAAAACATTGAGCATGAGATAGTTTTCATGATGTAAATATTGATGATTGCCTTCATCGTAGATCCCATGATGTGCTCGTTTGTCTTACCGTTTCGATCACTTTCTTTGTTGTTCTATCTGTTTTGTCGACGATTTATGGTAGCTGAGTGTTCTTGTTCCAGTGATACTATATTTTTTCCACTCTTTCATGACTCATATATATCAATACAACAGTTCCAGACGATTTTTCAACGACGATCCTTGTTTTTCCCCGTTCTTCGCCTTATCGTTTTAGAGAAGAACCATTCTCGATCAATGTTTATCGCTGTGATATTTTGTCTCTTTCTTCGTTGTATTCATTCGAAGTAAGTATTAGGAAATGTTGTGTAGGCGTATTTCGAAAGATCCGATATTGATATGTGAATATGCATAAAAAACCATAGGAGTACATTTATATGTTAGTTCTGATTAAAAAAAACAATGGGTCGTTAATTGCAGTAAATATTACTCATTTATTGATATTTGTTAACGTGCTTCACTTGTTTTTTCCCGTTCGGTTGTTATTTCCGAGCATTAACAACTGTAGAAGCAAAGAAAAGAACGGATCCATATATATAGTGAAACTTTTATAAGTGAATACTCTTCTAATATGAGCAACCTGTCTTATTGAACGCTTGCCGATCCCATCGAGCGATCTTCGGTGGTTTCGAACCCGTCCTATATGATCACTTTGCGATTCTGAAAGTGAACGCTTTTTTCTCGATCCCGTTGTTGTTCATATTAGAGAGATTTTACTGTAGATAACATAAACTTCTAGAAGTTCTTCAGTGATAATAATCGTTGAAAATCGAAAAAACCAAAAGATAGTAAGATTACTTGTTGACTGNGGAGAATTCACAATTATCATTTCTGGTCCAGGATTGGTTGAGCTCACTCCTTCTCCTTTAAATACAATTTCTCCTCCGCCAAGTAAGTCGAAAAACATTCAAATACATTTATTTATCAGGCATCTGTTGGATTCTTAATATATTCATACACATAAAAGATAAACGAATCCAAGAAGAGGTACAAACATCGTCTATAGAGTTGAGCACACATCCGTTTTACACTGAGAATCACTCGAAAAGGAAGAAACAAATGAGACCAGAGCGGTATGACATAATGAGTGAAATTAGATTGCATATAATGTAACAATTTTGTTTTGAGTGAACTATCAATGTACAACAAAAGAGCTCATATTTTTCTCATCCTTTCGTTTCAGTACCACTTCGTGGCGCTCTCGTTGGGATTACAGATCGATGGTCACCAGTTGGAGTTACTGTGGCTGGTGGAAATGGAAATGGGAGTGGACTCGATCAACTTGATAGACCTAAAGGCTTATATGTCGATGATGATCTGACTATCTATGTGGTTGACACGAGTAATTCTCGTGTTATGGAATGGAAATATAATGCGATAAGTGGTTCCATAGTTGGAGGAGTAAATGGACAGGGACGGGATGACGATCAGCTCTTTTCCCCAACAGATGTGATTGTTGATAAAAGGACAGATTCCCTCATTATCTGCGATAGTTGGAATAATCGAATTGTACGATGGTCTCGCCAGAATAGTACACGAAGAGAAATAATCAAATTATATTGGGGTTGTCACGGTCTTACAATGGACGACGATGGATCTCTTTACTTCTCTACAGGGCGGCACGGTACAGTGATGCGACAGCGAATAGGAGAACCTTATCCAACAGTAATACCAAGTGATTATTATCAGACATATCTTGATATCGACAGAATGGATTATTATCGGACATATCTTGATATCGACAGATGGCGGTCATACTTTACCTACATTTTCGTCAGTCATGTTCACTCAGTTTATGTGTCCGAAATACTTAAAAATCAAGTGAAAGAACCATTCACCGTTCGTGCTGGGAATGGCGACGGTAGGGGCCCTTCTCTCTCATACATGAATAGACCTGCTGGAGTTGTTGTTGATCAGTTCCACACTGTCTATGTAGCCGAGTCGTTTGGTAATCGAATAACGCGTTGGCCGCTAAGTGCTGCTGAAGGAAGTATTGTGGTAGGCGAAAGTGGTAAGGGTAATCGGTCAGATCAACTCAATGAACCTGAAGGTTTGTCATTCGATCGATATGGTAATCTATACGTCGTTGATTCGCTGAATTCTCGAGTACAACGATTTGATCGTATTCGCAGTTGTTAAAATGTTATCACATTTCAATGAACAGACACATCGAATGAAGCGTTGATAAGCCGGATACATGAAAGATATTTATTTCCATTCATTTGTTTTTATTTATCACCTGTCTTTGAAATTTTCTCTTCGTTTAGTTTGTTATACTCACTTCTGTCCATCGCCTTTATATACATTTTTGCTTTCTTCTCTCTCATTTATCCACCAGATACTACTATTTCAAATATATGGATTTTTACACTCTTTTTCGAAATTTCTATGCCTTTACATAGACAAGAAAACGGTGACAATTATACCTACTGAATACTATCAAGTGAAGAGATCAAATGATTTGTCTCCCAATATTTTCTGAACCTATCACGGTTATTTCTTGTTCTATTGATTGATTATCATGGGTTTTGATCATGAATATCTTTCAAAATACAGATTAAAGGACGAAATGAGAGAAGAAATGACTATTTACTGCATATTTAGTTTAAAATAAATCAGTATTAAGTAATTATTAGTCACAAACATCAGCCTTTTGAATACGACGAAAAAAAGAACAAGTTGATTTGTCTGTGACAAATGTAGCTTATCATTGTTGTACATAATTTGCAGAAGAAATCGAATGAAGTTTTTATAATTTGATTCATATAACTACAATACTACTTAGACTTTATGGTTTTATTCATAATTCACCGAACTGATAACTGTTGCTGATAATGCGAGATGTCACTATATTCTCAACATGACTAATTCGTATGCCATCGATTCGTTCAATATGAAGAACCACACAAATACGTCTTAGCAACAGGAACATAAAAGAGAGTCAATTGAAGTTATTTTCTTCTTTATCCGAGTTATGTCTTCGCTAACATCTCTTGTTCCATTTGACTGGTTCGAAATTCATAGTAATTCTCGTTCACCTCAGCTACGTGTCGGCCATTCAAGCACATTTGTTCCTTCATCGTCAACAATCTATGTTCTTGGTGGAGCGAATCCATCGGAATGTTTTGCAGATGTTCATTCACTTGCACTTCCATCCAAAACATCGGACACATTTCTTTGGACGAAATTACTTGCTGAAGATCCGGCACTTCGACGTTATGAACATTCTGCTGTTTTATCTACAGAAAATCCAGATCAAATCGTTTTCTTCGGTGGTGCTGATTCAGAAAACAATCACAACGACGTTCATGTGTTTAATATTTTAACAAAAACAATCGAAAGTTGGACACCGAAAGATAATAAACTAGTTTCACCACGAACTCATCATTCAAGTTGTTGTATTCAACATGGTTTGTATATATTCAGCGGTGGTTTTCAAGGAGCCAAATCAGTAGATGACTCTGAGTTATATCGATTTGATTTAGGTAATGCTTTCCTCCAGAACAAAAAAACATTCTGAATATCACTCATGTCTCGTTTCTAGTTTCCAAAACATGGTCGTGTGTTCCAGCTTATGGATCACCACCTGAGCAGCGCCATGGTCACTGTTTATTATCACTTGATAATGCACGTCTCTACCTTCACGGTGGTATGGATGGACGAACTTTTTTTTCATCGCTCTATTCTATTGATCTAACTCAAAAGCCACCCAGATGGAACGAGCACCGTTCGTCGTCGTCATCTTGCCCCATGGCACGTGCAGCACATGGCGGTGTTTCGATCGAACATACATCGACATTATTCATCTTTGGTGGATTATCGCGAAGTGGTCAATCACTCAACGACACCTGGTCATGGTCGACGAAGAGTGAACAGTGGACTGAGATCATCTGTCGAAATGTGCCCAGAGCAAGACTAGATTTTGCATATTGTCTTATCGAATGTAAAGATAAGGAGGAAGATTCCGAAAAAAACATACACATGATGTTTGTTCACGGAGGAACTGACACACAGGGAGTAGTTTTTGATGACTGTTTTTTACTCCGATTAACATTTGACAGCGATCAATAAAACTTTTGTTATAGTCAATAAACTCTGGAGCTCCCTTCTACAGTAGTTGTTCTTCTGATATACTTTCACGATGACTCGCACACATCAGCGCCATCTATAAATATGTGTTAACGCGAAGTTCCATATCCAATACTTTAGCTGCAGAATTTTCGAATCCCCTCATATGGTTACTTGATTTTCGCTCATTCGTCCTAATTGTCTTCAGTATTGTTTCAAAGCGGTTTCATGATGTTTGTCTTAATTTAGATAGCAAATTACTTCTACAAAGTTAGTTCATGTGGAGACGATCGTTAAATTATGGTTTAGTACCTCTCATGAGTCTCCTTAAAGGAACCACAATTATCAGATTCGCTTCTAATCTCGGCGATCGATTGAAGACATTGAACGATAGCAAACAATTCCAACAGGCACTTCAACTTTTTCATCAAAATCGAAAAAACAATACTGAAATTCTGTCCAGTTTAACGATCACACAAGCTCTGAAGGCGTGTACTCATCTAAGAGATATTCGAAGTGGGAAATCGATTCATGATCTTGTTACATCACGAACCAAAGATGATCATTACATAGTAACATCACTCATCCATATGTACAGTGAGTTCCATCAATCTATCCTCCATCGCATGTCTTTTTCTTTTCATAGTGCAATGTGGTGACGTTCGAAGTGCTGAAGCACTGTTTCATGACACAAAGAGAAAAGTTCCATCTGTGTACGGTGCGATGATGAAAGGTAACTTGTTTCATGTGCAAGAAAGTATAAAATAGAACACGTTCTTGTAGGATATCTGACAAACAATGAAGCACAGAAAGCATTCGAAGTCTTTCATGAAATCCAAACACCGAGTGAGGTGAATCTTATTGTATTCTTCCAAGTTTGTGCAGATCTGAAGACCCAACGAGCATTGGATGCGTTGAAAAAGGTGTTACTAAAAGTGCAAAATTCTCTCCAGTCCAATTATCGTCTTGCAACATCATCAGTAAATGCATTAGTGAAATGTGGAGATGTAGAACGTGCTGAGAAGATATTCGAGACAATAAAGGCAAAGCAACTTCCTATATATGGTGCAATGATGAAAGGTATCTATGTTTTATGTCCGTGTGGATTGAATTGAGTTGTTTTTCAGGTTATATTGCGAGTAATCAAGCTGAAAAAGCCGTTGCTCTTTTCAAACAGGTCAAAAGTCCTAATGATATCATAATCAATCTTCTCTTCAATGCTTGTGCGCAACTACGCACTGCGGAAGCTTTAGCTCTGGTAAAAGCTGTAGCAACAGATGAAGCAAATATGCTGTACAAAAACGCTTACCTTTTAACATCTTTACTGAATGCATCAATGGAATGCGGTGACGTTGAACACGCCGAAGCGATATTTAATAGAATAAATGAGAAGGCGGTAGCAGCATATGGAGCAATGATGAAGGGCTATATCACAAACAATCAAGCAGACAAGGCCATTGACCTATTCAAGAAGATCGATCATCCAGATGCGATCATTACAAATCTGCTCTTGAATGCTTGCGCTCAAATACAAACTGCAGAAGCTTTGAGTTTAGTTAAACAGACTTACAAGAACATGCCATCGTCATTGTATTCAAATGACTATGTAACCACTTCCTTGCTAGATGCACTGA